TGTGTACCATTGAAGGGCTGGTCTTGATAAACTGGAATCGAAACTGTTGCACATGCATGCTTCTCTGAGGTCCCCAAGTATGAAGATGACAAACATCCTTTGTTTGTATGAAGCTATGTGATTGTTTGGATCGGTTGTTCCGTCATATGGTTTCATAGTTGAGATGGAAAATTTCTGGGGCATCTTGGCTAAGGATATGGAGTTTGCAAAAGGTGAGTCGGCATAACTATGGGGAAGGCTCTTCTTGGCTGGGACAGGAACTCCTGATATGCGTCTCCATAGCTTCCATGTCAGCCAGCTTTTTGGCTAATATCTGTTCAAGAGGGGAGGTTGTAGAGAAAAGGTTTAGGTTTAGGTTCATGGTTTGGGGTTGTGTGTTTCTTTCACTCGATCTAGTAGGGCGAGTGGAGTCATTGTGGTAGGCTTGGTGGTTATCTTGTGTTTTTTGGATTTTATTCATCCTTTCAGGGTGAGTTATCCCAAGTGTTACTATTTGGGTATTTTTATTGGCATGGATGGTTAAAGGTGTGATTTGCGTATCGTTCGACCCGTTAAGATGAGTTGAGCCGAACGATGTTTGGATGGATTGGTCGGTCGACCTATAAGGGTGAGCCGAGTTGGAGGGGTCTTGGATGTATTGTGGATCATTGAAGCCAAGGGGTTGGTCAAGGTTAGTGATTTCTTATGGTTGGTTGCTTGGTTGCTTGGGATGGTTGAAGTGATTTGGTCAAGGGTAATTAAGGGATCGATTGATAGGGCGCATGTTTGCATGGCTAAGTTTGTTGTATCTGTGGTGGTGGGCACTAGTCCACCCATCATGGATGACTGGAGATGGGAAGATTGAGGGTTAGAAGCTGAGGTTCTAAGGTCTGGGGTCATTAGTGGTTGAATGGGGTTTACCGAGACGCGAAAGCGGTTCTCAAGTATATGATTGAATGGAAAATCAAGAGAATAAAACTGGTTTACCTTTTCTCGTAGGCTTTGATTTTCGGCTCGAATGTTGTTATTCTCGGCTTCCAGAGTTGTGACTTTTTCGGCTTGTTATTGCATGAGCGCCGAAAGAGCCTCGACCTTAGTCTCTAGATCTGCCGAGGCAGTATCTGTGTTTTCAGCCATTGCGTGACTCTTTGTAGAGTAAGATTCTGTACGGAGGTCGATTGCTAAAGGCCCCACGGTGGACGCCAAACTATAGATGTTAAAATCTATGGTTACAAAAGTAGAGTCTGATCCCATGAGGTTGAGACCACTGGCAATTTGTTGTACCTACACAAAGAGCAAACAAGCGTGGAGCTTACTTGGACATCGGTGTGATGTCTGCTATAGGCACTCCGAACTCAAGTCAGTAAAGCTGAATGAGGCAATTTAGTAAGGGTAAGGGAAGGAAGGGTTACCAAAGGTCAAGTCGGAGACTAGAACCATGACATAGTAGGATAACTCTCAGGAGTAAAAGCTTGGGTGTTGGTAGGTATATTGAGGCTGAATCCCTAAACAGAGGAGTGACCTCTGTTTATATAGTAGTTGTAGGATCTTTGTATCCTGACAAGACTCTGAATCCTTAAGGGAAGAGGTCTTGTGAATAAGGAAGATCCTGATTCACTTGACTTACTACTAACAAGAGTCCTAATCTGCCTAAGATACGAAAACTTGGGTGAATTAGGATAAAGTAAAACAGGAAGAATACTACCTACCTTGGTCTAGAAGGCCTGACCTTGGATGGGCCGTTGGAGTCGCCCATTCTGGAAGAAAGCTGGATTTGGAGGTCACGGTTTGGCCCAAACGACGAGCTTTGATGTTGATCCAACCAAAATTGGATCACAAGCTTGGGCTGATGTAGTGGAACATCCCTGTTTGGGGCTGATAAGGCCCTAGGTGATTTTATCCCCCACAACTAGCAATCACAACACCATCTAACTACAATAACAACACAACTGTAAAGAGAGTGAATAAATGAACTCCCTTCAATGATAATGGATGTATTTCATATTGGGTAATGCTACGCTAACAAAGGAATCTCACAAACTTTACTTTAATAAAATATGAATGGTTGTTCCTTAGGGACGAATGATCATTCCTTGATAAGGAACGATTGTTTCTTGATTGATAAGGAACATTCGTTCCTTGGGAAGAAATGGAACAACAGTTACTTCATACATGGTCGTTCCTTCAACGAACAAGAATGGTCAATCCTTAGAGAGGAACGACCATTCCTTAAGGAAGGAACGTCCGTTCCTTAGAGAGGAACAACCATTCCATAAGGAAGGAACGTCTGTTCCTTAGAGAGGAACGACCATTCCTTCCGTGAGTAATGACCATTATGAACAGCTGTTTCTTGGGTCTAGTCAAAATCATTTTGTGCCTTAGGTGTGGTGGAGCTGCCAACTTAGCTACCACGTGAGGGTTTGTGAGAGAAGTTTGTTAGATTCGTTTGTCAGCTTATCTTTACTCATAATGTATATATGTAGCCTTAAGAACTTTTTATTTAATTAATTCACATAATATTACTTTATTTAGTTTCATAAAATAAAAAAATTTGGTAGATATGGAAAATAAATCTTTGAAATTTAAGGGACCCGATACAACGAACAAATGAAGGCTCTAATATAATAGAAAGTAGTTGGAACTTGGAATATGGAAGGTAAAAATAGAGATTGCTTAATTGAAACACATCTACTGCAATTGAAAACATTATATTTACTTTTATGATTATTGCAAACCCCCCTTGAAAATAAAAAAATACCCCTAAAAAAATCCTTATAAAATTATTGATTACCTCCAAATTCAATACTATAATAATAGACATTTCATATTAAGGATCTTATAATGGATGAACGAAATAAACTTGTAAAAAAATAATAAATCTCATAAAATTAAGTTTTATTATAGAGTAAACGATTTTTTCCCACTCAAATAATGGTTTAATGACACTTTCTTACTCACAGACTTTTAAAATATTACTTTATTACTCAAATTTATATTTTGTTTGGGTTCCAATATCATTGCAACCTTACACCACCACCATTCTCTTTTCCAATTATCACTCACCAAAACTCTTCAAACCCTACTCCCGCAGACCCCGTCAATTGTTGGCAATCAAGCAATTAGAGTTTGTGTAACCGCTCTCTTAAGTCAAATTTTGATCAATTTCAATAACAAAAATCTAACTTTTTACCATCAAAAGATTCATCGACCTCCCATCTTCAAAAACCCTAACAGTTTGGAATGAGTTTGTTTTCTATTCACCACCGGAATATAAATTTAGATAGTAAAATGATGTTTTAGAAGTATGTGGGTTGGAAAGTTCATTAAACCATTATTTGGGTTGGAAAAAGTCGTTAACTCTTTCATTATATATGCAACTTTAAAATATATAAACTTATTATTTAATTAATTCACATACTTTTAGTTTAAAAAAGAAAAAATAGTTCCCAATATTATTGAAAATAGATGCTTAAATTTTCACAATCCCGATAGAATGAACGAACGAAGGCTTTAAAATTCCTTCACAAAAACATAATAATAAAATAGAAGGAATAGAGGGAAGAGTTCATAATTCCGAAAATAATGTAAATGTATATTTATACAGTACTGTAACTGTAACTGTAATGTAGAACTGTACTAGAACACCATCTACCTGCAGCAACAGCATAACTGCAAAGAGAGCAGAGCGGATAGCCTTCAATATTCTGTGTTAACAAACTTTGCAAATTGACTTATCTTCAAGGTATAGATTTACACATAAATATATATGCACATGCTCTTAATAGAAGCATTACCAATTAACTACTACTGATTAGAAAGTAGGCCTAGCAGAGAGAGGAATTAAAGGTAGTGGGAGATACAGGATGAGCAAAATGAAGCCAAAGATCCCCCGAAAGTTTAACCTCAGGAAATTATAACGTAACAAACAACACGGGATCGGAAATACATGTTTGTTTTACGAAAATTATTACCATAGGTGACTCCTTTTGGAAAGAAAACAATCCATTCCATTTATATCTCCCGGCGATAGCCATTAAACTGAGTCTAGTGATATTATTCACCCGCATTCTCATGTTCATCCTCAGACCTCTTAGCCTCGTTTTGTTGCCGAAGTTATTGTAAGTAGTTCATAAGTGACTTTAATTGATGATTACTACTTTTAATATATATTATATTAATTTCCATTTATATTGTTAACAGGCTGGTCTTTTCATTGGCTCACCGTTAATGAGTATAATAAATTTCTCGGGAGAAATTTTCACTTATGAAGACAACTACGTCGCGGAGCATTTCTCCGGTTTGGGGCTGACTTATTACATATTCTTGATGGGATTAGAGATGGATGTAATGGCGTTGAGGCATATTGGGAAGAAGTCATTAAGCATTTCGGTTGTAGGAATTTTGGTTCCACTAATTGCAGGAGCCGGCTTATATTTTGTACCCATACGCGGGGTTGCAAACGGAGTCGGAGAATCGCTTCCTATGGGTGCCATGTTTTGGGCTATATCATTGAGTAACTCGAGCTTCCCTGATCTAGCAAGCATTCTGTGAAATGTGAAGCTTCTACATACGGATCTTGGAAGACTGGCATTAACTAGTGCCTTTATCAGTGACATTAGTGCGTGGATTTTTCTTGTTATAACTATAAACTTCTATGATCTCCATATGTTCTACATGGCGGCAGTACCCACAACTATCTTTCTGTTAGCCTGCTTTTTCTTGTTACGTCCAGGTATTAAATGGATGATAAATGAGAACGAAAAGAAAGGGAAAAAATATTTCTCTGAAACACATATAAGTTTAATCCTAGCCGCGGTTGCTATATGTGGATGCATTGCTGATGCGTGTGGATCACATTCCATGATAGGTAGTTTTATGTTAGGATTTATCATCCCACATGGAGAGATTGCCATTGATATTACGGAAAGAATTCAAGGATTTGTGAACCAAGTCATGATGCCGATGTTTTTTTTGCTTAATGGCCGTCGTTCAGACTTTGCTGGTTTATCATTAAGCACTAGATGGATAAAAATGTATTGTTTGTTACAATTGTGTCTTCTTCCTCCAAAATTGTCAGCACTCTTCTCGTCTGTTTATTCCATGGCATGTCATTAAGGGAGGCCTTGGCTTTAGGAGGTCTTCTCAACACCAAAGGTGTTCTGGCACTCATTGTTCTTAATGAAGGCCGAGCCATGAAAGTAAGATTTCAATTCTTTCATTAATTAATTGTGTACATTTCATAAACATTGATCATCATTCACAAAAATTAACTGCAGGCTATAGACAATATAGAATTCACTGTAATAGGGATCATAACATTGTTAATGGCGTCTACGGTAGCACCAATATTCTTCTTAGTTGAAAAATCAACAAAATGTTTCAGCAACTACAAGCAAAGATCAATAGAAAGAAGTGATCCAAACACAGAACTTCAAATTCTGACATGCATTCATTCAACCCGAAACGTCTCCGGCATCATCAATCTACTCCAACTTTCTAATGCCACCACGAGATCTCCCATATGTGTCTTCGCCGTGCACCTTGTGCAGCTTACTGGTACTGGACGTGCCTCTGCCATGCTTATTGTTCAAGACTCACGAAAGACTAGAACTATTATTGGCAACGGCAAAAACAACAATGACATCACCCCTCAAAGGGCCGAGTCGGAACAAATCGTTGACGCCTTTGGAAACTTTGAGCGTGAAAACGAAACGGCGGTAACTGTGCATCCGCTGACGGCAGTGTCCCCTTACACCACCATCCACGAGGACATCTTCCAACTTGCAGAGGAAAAGCATGTTGCCTTCATTTTGGTACCATATCACAAGCTACCGACAGCCAATGGTCGGTTACAAGGTGATAATGTTTCAATACGCCAATTGAACCAAAATTTACTTAATAATGCACCATGTTGTATTGGCATTCTCGTTGACCGTGGAGTAGGACCTCCGATAGAACAAAATTCAACAGAATTTGACAAATCGGAATTCCGTATAGCCATGCTCTTCATTGGCGGGCCTGACGATCATGAGGCATTAAGTTATGCAAGTAGAATGGCTGAAAAATCAGGCGTGACTTTAACCGTGGTACGATTTCTTGAAGCTAAAGAGGAAAATACAAGAAACGAGAGTGATTTGGAAGATATGACGGAGAGCGAGGAGGGGAAGGAGATAGATGATGACTTTATAAACGAGTTCAGGTTCAAGACAATGTTCGAAGAATGCATAAGTTATCAAGAGAAAACAGTGAATAGTGCGGATGAATTAATGGAATATGTAAGTTCAAATTAAAGGTGGACGTAGAGATGGAGTAAAATAAAAAATTACAAGGCAACTGTCAGAATGGAGCAATAGTCTAGAACCGGGAGCAATTGGATTGATAACGACACAAGCTACAGAACATGCATCAGTTCTGGTGGTGCAACAATCTGCGATTGGTCAATTGGGAACTGGAACGCAGCGCCGAAAGGCGCAATTTGGAGAAAAGAATTGCGTTTTAAATCCAGACTATGAAGCCTATGCACGCACATACAATCTGTGAACACATATATTTTGTACTAGCTATCAAGTCTTAGACGCATTGTTATTCTTTAATTATTTACTTGATTGTTGGGGTACTTAATTTGTTCTACTACCTGGAGATTATATCTCATTCTAGGCTTTGTTAAGGGCCAATGTTACGTCTCTAGATGGAAATTCAATATTGGTTATTTTTTGGAACTGGGCACCATTTATTTTATTTTATTTTTTATAATTTTGTCTTGTTAAGAAAATGTAGACAGATAGATCCTACGTAATGCTGATTTGATACCGCAAATTACTATTAAGGAGCAAATATAAATAAAGAATAAAAGTAAGGGTCAATTGAAATAAACCAAGTAACGGTTAAAATTTTCTATGGCCCAAAAATTGAGTTTGATAAAAAAGAGTAGGACCACCAAACAAGACATAAATCACGTTCTCTCTAATAAGTTTCCCATTCAAAACTAAGACCAAAATGGTATTTGATCAAACCATGACAAAAGATTTCTCAATTTAAAAATTTACCAAAAATAATTCATAAACAATTAAAAATGCAAAATTCAGTTTTTATAATATAGTAATTGATTGATAATGTGTCAAACCAGTTCAATCTTCGGTTTCCAAATCCAAACTTCCCTTATGATATCCTAATCCTATGGGTTTTAGTATTACTTAAGGGTCGTAGCCAGAAACTCATTATAACTTAATAATACAATTGTAAATAAACTTATAATAAATAATATATTGGGTATAAGTTATACAAAAATATGAGTATTTGTTTATAATGTTCTTTATAATTAATATATTTATGATTGTGTTTGATGCTATGGAATAAATTTATAATACTTTAACGAGTGTAAAACAAAACCAAGAAACTTTACTAATGAACAAGTTATTAAGCAAACACAAATAACAACACCTCCAAATTAAACTATAATAAAATTTCTACCAATAAAATTTTTGTGTGTGATTTTTCCATCAAGCTCAAAGAGTTGTGAGGTTATAGCTCGATCCAAAATTAGTTCAACTCAATTGATTGTCTGACCCAGCATAAGCTCGTCGAGTTGTGGCTCGACCTAGCACAAGTTAGTCGCGACCAATCCTTACAATTTTTCAACTAGCTCACAAATAACTTCAGATCCTAGATATCTCGGAAGGATCAGATCGATAGCAATCTTGGCGCAATCTCAACACTCAATCGTGAGAATGTCGGAGTTGCATGTCAATCTTAATTGTAATCTCCCTTTATTTTTGCTATTTCCTTTGTACAGAATTTGTATATAAACCCCTCTCCAACGATGAGAAAGGGGTTAGCAAATTGTTCTAGGATTATTATTGTAAGCTCTCACAACAAATACAAGAACAGTGAGCGTAAGCTCAAGAGTTTAACTCACTGAACCACTTTAAAAACTCATTGTGCCATTTACTTTATTGCATTTTCCGTTTATACATTGCTAGTTACTCGTAATCACGCATACATCAGTTTCAATCCTGTCAAGGTTGATCGGATCGCTTTAGTTTGTGTATTTTTGCATCAACATTTTGGCGCTAGAAGGGGGGCCTCCGCCAAATTTCAGAATTTGTGGCAAACAAACCCTAGTGACCGGATCACTCAAGGCCTACGATGGTTCAAACCAGATCAAAGACCACTACCGGAAACCACGACAATGTGGAGACCACCTATTAGAAGGTGCACTAAGATCTCACCGGCGTCGACCACCAATGTCGCTAATGAAGTAGGCCACAAACCAGCTAGGGACAAGGACATCAAATCCCGAGAATGACCAATTGGTGGAGATGATTAGAAGGATGGTCACACAAGCTGTGCAACAGAACATGGCTGAGCTGAGAAATCAACAGTCGGCCCCCCAAGACCTTGACCAACCGCGCTTCACTGACATTACTCCTACAAGTCAGAACTCGGTCGGCGACCAATCTGGTTCGTCAACACTAAGGCACGTCTAATGATCTCGGCACCACCGAGAACATTCTGCATAAGAACGAGAGTCATGCAGGCAAACTAACCTCGAGAGGCAATCGGGCAAACAACCCATAGGAGAAGACAAAGATAATGGTTGCCAGAGGGATACCCGACCTACTCGGTGGTACCCCCAACGTCAGTGTGCCTGTTTTAACCCATGCCTAAGGTAGGCTCAATCCTCACAAGCTTGCGAGATGAGTCATGTGTGTCAATCTGGCAATGACCGACGTTTCGTTTATAACCAACATCGAGAGCAACACCCTGATGAGCATGATAGAACCTACCAGCCCAGCCATCATGACTCAACCTCGCGCATCAATGTGCATAATGGAAGAGGCTCACAAGCAACAGATTTGCGAACTCACTTGTTCGAGGTAAGGCTAAACAGAGCCAGCGAGGGCAATCCTCACAACAAAGACTTAGATCGAGTATAGAAAATGCTCGATGATCTAAGAGTCTGCTAGAACAATGCAACAAGAAAGATAGTGAGCTCTCCTTCATAGAGGAAGTTCGCCAAGCCATGCTTTCCGAGGGATTTAAGGTGCCAAAAGGTAAATTCGATAGGAAAGGAGATCCCAGAGACTACCTAGATTCATTCAACAACCTGATGGAGCTACACCAGGTCTATGACTTGGCAAAATATTGCTACTTCGCGGTCACATTAGTAGGGATGCCAAGAGGTGGTATAAAAGGTTCAAGGCGAACTCCATTAGTTCTTGGCAACTATTCTCCTAGTTGTACTTACAACAATTCCAAGCGAGGAGACAATTCGCACTGCTGCTCAACTACTTTAGCAATATTCATCAAGAGAGAGACGAAACATTTACCTCATATTTAACAAGGTTCCAAAATGAGCAGGCAAAGGTCGCAGATGCACCTGAAGAGTCAATCCAGACTTTATTAATTGCAGGCATCAGGCTGCAAACGAAGCTGTGGAAAGAGCTCCAAAGTGAAGACATGTGAGTCTAGCGAAGTTCTATCAGATGGCTGCATCAGTGAATGGAAAGCTCGCTAGCAGCCCTAGCTAGAAGCTCGCCACGAAGAGCCTTAGACAGGCGACAAGATCGCCCAACATATAAACGGAGCGGCCAAGACCGTAATGACAAAGACCGAAACAATGTTCCAAAAGAGGCAAAAGATAGAGAATCATGGGGAAAGGCAACCTTTCCCGCGATATATAGAATACACCCTATCATTGAAGACATAGCTCACATATATGAAGTCTTCCGTGAGACTAAAAGATTGTCCGCTCCAAAAAGGATGAGAGGGGCTCCGAGCAAGAGAGATTGGTAGAAATATTGTCGATGTCACTAAGACATCGAGCACAACACCAATGAGTGTCGGGCTCTAAATGATACCATCAAAGATCTTATCTGAAGTGCCAGCTTGCGAAAATATAGGTGAGCAAAATAACCAGATCTAGCAAGCCCCAACCAATGCAAACAATGAAGTTCAGGTAGGCATGATCTATGGGGGTCCTGACATTGTAGGGAGCTCAAGGCGCTCTCACAAGTAATCTACGCAGGAGGCCAAGACAGACTCGGTCTCTCGAGTAATGAGCTATGAACAGAAGCCATTAAAGCAGCCCAGATAAGAGAGCGAGGTGATAGGATTCACAGTGGAAGAGTGTGATAGTCGATAATGGCAGTGTAGCGAACATCATTTTTCTTGGGAGCTTTTTGAGAAATGAGGTTCACTGAGAGAGATCTAAGGGCTTGTCCATCGCCACTCTATGGATTCACCGAGGACAGCCTAGTTCCCAAAGGAACAATCGACATGCTTGTGACCCTGGGTGCAAAACCCAAGATCAGGACGTTGATGACATAATTCTTAGTGGTGGATTGCCCAACCACTTACAATGTAATCCTTGGAAGACCGATCTTAGATGATCTAAGTATAGTCACTTCAGTACGCTATCAAGCAATGAGGTTCCCGACTCTAAGCGGGGTCGTGACAATTAGAAGCTGGAAGAAAGAATCTTGGAAATATTACAACCAGGCCATTAATGCTACACTAAAATGGCCACTCCCGAGAACCATGGTCATTGTAGAGTTTGAGCCAAACACCGAACCTCTAGAGGATACCATAGATCCTCATATCAATAAAGAAGAGCCTATAATAGGGCCAACAGAAGAGCTGTGAGAAGTATCTGTCAACGAGGAAGACCCAACTCATGTGTTAAAAATTGGCAACAGTCTAAGCAAAAAATTGGTCAACAATCTGGTGGGGTTCCTAAAGAAAAACCTCAACGTGTTCACATGGGTACACGCAGATATGTTGGGGATCAACCCCGAGGTAATATGCTACATATTAAATGTTAACCCAGCAACTCGACCAATTAGACAAAAGAAAAGCTTTATGGATGTAGAATGCTCCAAAGCGCTCAAAGATGAAGTTAACAAACTCCTGAACATCAACTTTATCAAAGAAGTAAAATACCCAGACTGGCTCGCCAACCCAGTCTTGGTGAAAAATTCGATTGGCAAGTGGTAGACTTGCATTGACTTCACAGTTTTTCGCTGCCTTGGATCGACCAATTAGTAGATACGACATCGGGAATACACTACTAAGCTTCATCGATGCATACTCGGGATATAATCAAATCCCGATGAAGAACACACCTCATTTATTACTAATCGGGATATTTACTATTACAGGGTAATGTCATTTGGCTTGAAGAACGCTGGAGCGACCTACTAGCGTTTGGTGAATAAGATGTTCTCGAGCAAATCGACAAAACAATGGAGGTATACCTCGACGGTATGCTCATCAAATCAAAGGTCGCCGA